AGATTGCTACCCAAATGTCCCAGGCTTTTCTTTTATGAATCAGCTGGAAGGTATTTAAATAGAAGTTATGCTCTGTGTGTTACAAGACTGCACAGAGTAATTGGGAAAAGGTGTTGTAGAAAACTAACCAACTAAGCAGATAAAAAAAAAAGTTGGAAATATACTAAGTGCTTCATTTTCTTTTTTAGAAAGACTAACAAAAGGTGCATTATTCCCAACAATGTGCATTGAGCAAAACAAAAACCGTAACAACCTGCAATTTAAAAAACCCAAATCTTAAAAAGCCACTTGACCAATTAAAAACACTTTTTTATATATTTAATACCATTATAAATGCTGGAGGCAAAGCGGGGTTTTGGGTGGAGGCTGACAGCTCGCGACCCCCCCGTAATAACCTCGCGAGCCCCGAGGGGTCCTGACCCCCAGTTTGAGAACCCCTGACTTAGTCCTACTTCTTGTTCAGCCAATCACTAAGACAAACAAGTTTGTTTATATTTACAAGAGATAATGCTGCCCACTTCTTATTTACAGTGTCCCCAGAAAGTGACAACGGGTGGTCGCATGGCGCTTTTGTAGCCGGTGTTGCAAGATATTTACGTGCCAGATGCGCTAAACATTCGTGTGCCCCTTCATGTTTCAGCCACCATTCCAGAGGACATTCTTCCATGCTGAAGATTAGTTAAAAAAAATGGTGTGTTAATTAAATTTGTGACTGAACTCCTTGGGGGAGAATGGTATGTCTCCTGCTCTGTTTTACGCACATTCTGCCATACATTTCATGTTACAGTAACTCCTCACTTAAAGTTGTCCTGGTTAACGTTGTTACGTTGCTGATCAATTAGGGAACATGCTCGTTTAAAGTTGCGCAATGCTCCCTTATAATGTTGTTTGGCAGCCGCCTGCTTTGTCCACTGCTTGCAGGAAAAGCAGCCCATTCCAGCTAGCTGGTGGGGGCTTGGAACCAGGGTGGACCGGCAGCCCCCCCATCAGCTCCCTGTTCCCCTAAGTTCCCTGTGCGGCAGCCGCCCAGCAGGCTATTAATTGCCAGCAGTTCAACTGTGCCTCCCCCGACTGCCATGTGCTGCTCTTGCCCTCTGCCTTGGAGCTGCTCCCCGGAGCCTTCTGCTTGCTGTGCACGGGGGGTGGGGGGGAGAGAGAGAGAAGGGGGGGCTAATGTCAGGGTGTTCCCCTCCCTCTTGCTCCCCACTTACCCCATCTTCCATAGAGCAGGGGGGACACACGACAGGGCTTAGGACGGAGGGAGCTTCCTGGCAGCAGCTGCCGTCTCAGCTTGCTGATCTACTTAAAAAGGCAGTGTACTTTGAGTGGGTTCAGTGTACTTAAAGGAGGAATGTGCATCTCTCTCACACACGGTGTGTGTGTCTCTGTCTGCCATGCTGTCTCCCCTCCCTCCATTCGTGCTGCCTTGTATAGCGTGAGGCTACATTAACAACAAGTTAACCCTTGAAGGCTCGGCCAATTGCTAGTTCATCATTTAGCAGTAAGGTATTCCCTGGGAAATATCCCACCCTCTGACTTCACCACCTCAACCAAGCTTCACAATTATCATCACTGTGTACCAGTATTAAATTGTTTGTTTAAAACTTATACTGTGTGTATATGTGAATGAATATATATATATATATATATATATATATATATATTAATTAATTATAGTCTTGTCTGGTGAAAAAAGTTTCCCTGGAACCTAACTCCCCCTCCCCCCATTTACATTAATTCTTATGGGGAAATTGGATTCGCTTAACATCGTTTCGCTTAAAGATGCATTTTTCAGGAACATAAGTACAACGTTAAGCGAGGAGTTACTGTATAGCAGTCTCAGATGATGAACCAGTATGTTGTTCATTTTAAGAACACTTTCACTGCAGATTTGACAAAACGCAAAGAAGGTACCAATGTGAGATTTCTAAAAATAGCTACAGCACTTGGCCCAAGGTTTAAGAATCTGAAGTATCTTCCAAAATCTGAGAGGGATGAGGCATGGAGCATGCTTTCAGATGTCTTTAAAGAGCAACGCTTCAGCACAGAAACTACAGAACCCGAACCACCAAAAAAGAAAATCAGCCTTCTGCTGGTGGCATCTGACTCAGATGACAAAAGTGAACATGCATCAGTTCGCACTGCTTTGGATTGTTCTCAAGCAGAACCCATGATCAGCATGATCATTCCATGTGCCCTGGAATGGTGGTTGAAGCATGAAGGGACATAGGAATCTTTAGCATATCTGGCATGTAAATATCTTGCAATGCCGGCTACAACAGAGCCATGCGACCGCCTGTTCTTATTTACAGTGTCCCCAGAAAGTGAGGAGTGGACTTGTAGGCTCTAAAGTTTTACATTGTTTTGTTTTTGAATGCAGTTATTTTTTATATTTGTAAGTTCAACTTCCATGATAAAGAGATTGCATTACAGTACTTGCATGAGGCAAATTGAAAAATTCTTTTGTTTTTTTACAGTGCAAATATTTGTAATAAAAATATAGAGTGAGCACGGTATACTTTGTATTCTGTTGTAATTGAAATCAATACATTTTCAAATGTAGAAAACATCCAAAAATATTTAAACAGCACAATTATCACATGATTAATTTTTTTAATTGCGTGATTAATCACGATTAATTTTTTTTAAATCGCTTGATAGCTCTAATTTCTGACCTAAAATACATTAGATTGAAATGCAGGAGACCTTTGAACCAAGACAGATTTTTGGTAGCTACACATAACCTGTTTACATCCCCGCTTCATATAACACCTATCAGAAGCTACACTCCTGGTATATATGACTGGGCAAACTTTTCTGAATGTTAATTCTGGCCTCCCCGTCCCCTGAAGAATCTTCTTGCTGTATTTTACCTGAATATTTAGCCCATCACATAGTTTTAGTGTTTGTGTATTTCTTTAGTAATTGTAATTTATCAGGGGTTAGGTTGTTAGCATACCTCATTACAGAATAACGAACAACTGAGGCAACAGTTTACTACATGTTTCAAGGATGTTACTAAATGCCCACACAGAATACCAGATTGAGAGATTAAAAATATTGTAAAAAGTAATGCTTTAAGTTGTTAGTCTGATTGTGTGTGTTTGTATAAAATGATAATAAAACTGTAGCTTGTTTCCTTTATGTAACTAAGAGAATACATCAGTATAACTTCTGGATAAGTTTAGAAGGGATACACGTAGGTATATAGAAAAACAAACATAAGAATGTGAATCTAAATTAGGGTTACCATCCGTCCGGGTTTTCCCGGACATGTCCGGGTTTTTCAGCCTTAAATGGCCGTCCGGGAGGGATTTCTAATTAAGTAGAAATGTCCGGGATTTCCCCTCCTGAGGAGTGTGGCGCGGCTGATTGGACGCCTGGCCTGATTGAAAGCCGCTCGCAGCCACTAGGGCCTCTAGCAGCCAGAGTCCCTCCCCTTCCCCCGCTCCCTCCCCCTCCTCCCCCACAGAGCAGCCGGCAGTGTTGGAATCCACGTGGAGCTCACAGTTCTCCGTCTGCCGGGTGAGCGGGGGAGGGGGGCAGGCGGGGGTGTGTGTGTAGAGGCAGCAGGGCAGGCGGGGGGAGCAAAGGCTGCAGGGAGGGTGCAGAGGCTGCAGGGGGTGTGTGTGCAGAGGGGGCAGGGCAGGCGGGGGGGAGCAGAGGCTGCAGGGGGAGTGTGTGCAGAGGCTGCAGGGGGGGTGTGTGCAGAGGGGGCAGGGCAGGCGGAGGGGAGCAGAGGCTGCAGGGGGGGTGCAGAGGCTGCAGGGGGGGTGTGTGCAGAGGGGGCAGGGCAGGCGGGGGGAGCAGAGGCTGCAGGGGCGGGGGGGCGCAGAGGCTGCAGGGTGAGGCGGAGCAGGGCAGGCATGGGCATAGGGACTGCGGGGCGAGTGGGGAGCAGGGAAGCACTTAGCAACCCCCAACCAAGATCAGAGCGGGAGGGAGGAGGGGGAATGCAGGGTGCTCAGAGGAGGGGGCAGAGTTGGGGCAGGGACTTTGGGGAAGGGGTTGGAATGAGGGCGGAGAAGGGGTGGGGTTGGGGCGGGACCGGGGGCGGGGAAGGGGCGGAGTTGGGGCAGGGCCGGGGGCGGGGCCGGGGCCCCGTGGAGTGTCCTCTTTTTTAAATGTTTGAATATGGTAACCCTAATCTAAATATTCATTGAGGCAAGAGAACACTCGTGTTAAAAGTCTGTAGCTTTGGCAGTTCAGCTTGTCTGCATCGTCCTCCCATCTGAGACAAGACCAGCGGGCATGACCACAGCCTATGTTGGGCCAAGGTCTGCAGGCATACACACAAGACACCCTATGATTCTCTGAACCAAAGCAGAAACCCCCCCTGTAGTAAGTCAAATTCTTAATAAAAACACATGGTAAAAAGGAATATGACAGTTGAAAATTGTTTATATACTGGGCAGCGTACCGATAATGTAAATCTTGTTTGTGAGGTTTATATTATTTAGTTGTGTGTGTGTGTGTGTGTGTGTTTGTTTTGTCTTATGACTAGGTAAGTAATAGCTCCTTGTTCATTATTCTGATTTCCTCCAGTCCTCCTGCCTCTAAAAAAAGTGGAATTCTAGTTTCTGTCAAATTAAAATGGGGCATATGAAAATGAATATTCTTCTGCTTGTTCTTTAGCTACTATATTTTTAATTAACATACTCCACTGATAGTTGATGCATCTATATTATAATGTAGACATATATTTTAAATACATTTTTAATAAGAATATTAAAGAAAAGGCATTTCACACAAACTTGAGGAAATATGGCAACCTTATCAACCTGCACTTGAGAGGAGAACAGATGAACATACAGTTCAAATAAGTATAATGAAAGGGACAATACAACTTAAAAAAAAATTGCTGTAGATGGGAAAAGATAACAGTTGACCTATGGACGTTAAAGAAAATATCCAGAAGAACCTATCTGTATGTGTTTGAAGATTATACAGCTTGTTATACAGCTTTTAATGTAGTATTGATTCACAATTTTCTGCTGCAGGAGATGAGTATGATGTATGTGCCATTTGTCTGGATGAATATGAGGATGGAGACAAGCTCAGAATCCTTCCTTGCTCTCATGGTAAGCAGCTGCATATTGGTTTTTAATACTTTAATTATAACAGTTATTTAAAGAAAATATTTGTGTCCAAAACAGCAATGAATTTATTTACTGATTGATTTATAAAAGGTAGCCTGTCTAATATGGCCCAGAGTCTATATACAAAATGGGATTAAAAACAGACAATTTTGGCTTCTAAACAGCAACAAGAGAAGGATAATCATAATGAGAACAGCTAATCACCCAACCAATGAGTCCACCTTCCTTCAGTCAGATGCCCAAGAGAAAATATGGGCCTGACATTGGTGCCCTGAAGCAGGGCCGGATCTACCATTTTTGCCGCCCCAAGCAACAACAAAAAAAGCCGCCCAGACTGTGCCACCCCAAGAATGGAAGGAATGCCGCCCCAGGCACATGCTTCCTCCGCTGGTGCCTGGAGCCGGCCCTGCCCTGAAGATCAGACTGTGTGTGTCAGTTCAGTGGAGAAGTGCACTCCAGAGTCAGACTCTACATACAGTATATGTTTCAATCAGTTCCCAGACATTTAAATCTAAGGACTGTTTGCTCAGCTGATCTCTACTGCCCCAGCAACCTAGAGAGAGAGAGTCTGTTGAGTAGCCTGGAAATAAACCCATTTGGACCTGGAAGCTAGTGCTCTGCTAGGAGAGCTGTAAGATGTAATAGATTCCCTGTGACTAATTCTGCCTAGCAGGGAGCCAGCCATGTTGTGCATCAGCTGCTGGTCTTGATTAGTCTTCCTCAAATGTCGCCACATTGCAGTAAGTGGATCCAGATCCAATAGAAAAGATTGCAAAGTTTAACCAGACACAGGTAAAAATTGGTATTCTTGGCTATCCACACCAGCTAGAAATCCAGGAGCAATCAGGGGCCCAGGACCTCCCCCAAATTGTTAACATCTTGGACAATGGTTGGACAAACCCCCTAACAAAAGGGTCAGGAGCCATCCCTACCATATCCTTATGATCCTTCCTTCAGTCCACTAGTCACATTGCCTCCATCTTGTCTGGACTGAGCCTTAGCCAGTTTGCTCTCAGTGTCACACCCTCACCAGGCATTGCAAAAGAGTATCATCAGGTCAGATGAAAATGAGACATCTGATGACAGTGCAGCCAAAACCATCTCACATAGTGGCCTCACATACCCGTTCTGCTCAGTGAGAGACTAAATAGGGTTTTGTAGAATTCCATACAAAAGAACCTTGAGGGCAGACAGACAAATGCCTGGGACTTCTCAGAAAGAAAGAACAGAAATATGGCATCTACCCTAGCTAAGGGCCACAAAGTTAACCAAATCTCACAGTCAAAGGCTACTGACAGATCTAAAGGAATCATCATGAACACTTGTCCTAGGAAAACATGTTAATTACTACATGTTAAACATCACTTTATACATAGTATAGGAAGTGATACACCATGTTTAAAAACATATTAGTTGGTCATGGTTAACCGTAGGGTTCCTGACCAGCTAACACACCTGTCCTGCTAGGTTGTGTTGATCATCATGTTAGTTAAGACATTTTCATAAGATGCATTTTCTCAGCTTAGATAAGGCCATTGAGATCAGTACAGTTGCTGTGCCAAATCCAGCCCTAATACCAGACTAAGAGATCAAGGAGATTGGAAGACTCCAGTAGACACCAGTGAAAATTGCCTTGCCACAACCTTCTCAGGAAAAAAAGATTTCCAGCATCAGAAACTTCTTCAGCAAGGGTCTAATGATTGTTCACTTGATGGAAGCTGATGCTCTCCCTGCCCTTAGAGTCCAAAAATGGTTATTATTTATATTACAATAGTGTTCAGAGGCTCTTGTTAGGATCAGGACCCACTGTGCTAGGTGTTGTCCAAAGGTAAACGTGACCAATATCCCAACTGGTTTACAGTAACCAACGTTCTCTGAAGAGGTTCACTCACCACAAGTGGCGCCGCCTTGTGGTTCATCTGGGGATTAGCTCTCAAGCAGTCAGATGTCCCCTCCTTTGCTTGCTCACCCTGTGGTCTCTATCTGGACTCAAAAACAACAAGGAGTCTGGTGGCACCTTAAAGACTAACAGATTTATTTGGGCATAAGCTTTCGTGGGTAAAAACCTTCACATAGCTATGCATCCGAAGAAGTGAGGTTTTTACCCATGAAAGCTTATGCCCAAATAAATCTGTTAGTCTTTAAGGTGCCACCAGACTCCTTGTTGTTTTTGTAGATACAGACTAACACGGCTACCCCCTGATATCTGGACTCAATTGCTCCCTCCAGCCAGATTATTATAGTTCTCCCCTTCCAGGATATCAAAGTCCCACTGGACAAACTGCCTCAGGCAATCTTTTGATCCACTACCCAGTCTGTGCTGCTTTCCCAGTGGCTGGTAAGGGAACCTGGACCTACCCAGTATTCTGGGTTCCAGCCCACATACACTCTGGCCAGCAACCACAGTCTGCGTAAGCTCTGACCCTCTTGCTATTTTTCTGGGCTCTTTTCTACCTTTCTTCCTTATCTCCTAGCCCACCTCTGCATCACCACTGGAGCTTCCTCTGCTCCCTGTGGCTACTTCACCCCTTCTAGAGTTCTTGCCAGAGTCTACAGTCCAAGGCAGGATCCCAGGGCCTACTCTCCCCCTATATCACCTCCACCTTGTGCCGTGCCGTGCCTCGCCTCTAGGGAGGGACTGCAGAGCTCCTCCCAACAGCCCCTTCTTGCCTTTATATAAGCTCAGCCTGCCCCAGCCAGCTGGCCTTCATCATCAGTTAACCTTTATTAGTCCCTGCCTCTCCTCCAGGTGCAGCCTATAAAGTTAATTGGCCCATTTTTCCCCAATCAGGCATTGTGTGTGGTTGACACCCAAACACAAGGTCTTTTAAAATCAGCATTATTTAACATAAAACTGTAACACAAAATTATAACATAACAAGAGTAACCTCAGACTGTCATGTTTACCTAGCAAATGACATACCTGTTTTGTTTCCTGACAGCCTATCATTGCAAGTGTGTGGACCCCTGGCTGACTAAAACCAAGAAAACATGCCCTGTGTGTAAGCAGAAAGTGGTCCCTTCTCAAGGGGATTCAGACTCTGAAACAGACAGCAGTCAAGAAGAGAATGAAGTCTCTGAAAACACCCCTTTGCTTAGACCATTAGCTTCAGCTAGCACTCAGTCATTTGGGGCTTTGTCAGAGTCTTATTCCCATCAAAACATGACTGAATCTTCAGAATATGAGGAAGACGACAATGAGGATATTGATAGTAGTGATGCAGAGGATGGAATGAATGAAGAGAGTGTAGTGGTTCAGCTACAGCCCAATGATGAAAGGGAGTACAGAGCGGCAAATACTGTTTGAGCTTCAAGGCTGCTAGTGATCAATCTCGTAAGAACAAAACTGTTCATAAAGCTATACTTTACATACACTTATATAGGGAATACATTCTATTTGGTGGTCTCTTTGGTTACTTCAATAGATGCAGCTCTTCATGTAGTGTTCTATGTTTTAGTCATATTACAGACAGATTTTTTGGTTCAGTTATTCATTCACATATTTATCTTTTCAAAATGAACAGTTTAACTGGACTTCACAATACTAATGAATAGTGCTGGGAGTCTCCATCAGTAGGGATATCACAGTAAACCAGAGACTCTACTTTAAATGTCAGCATCTTGTTGAAATGGGATATAGCCAAGAAAGTAGGTTTTTTTTTTTTTCCTGATTACAGCTTGTAGGTAAGATTGGCTTATATTGATAGTAATATTTATTAACCGTATGGTAAGCGCTACCCCTCCAACCCAATCAAAAATGTATATGGTTCCTGTGTCTCTGGGGTTTTCCCAAGGCTGCACCACTACTGAAAGAAGGAGGTAGAACAGTTTAGTATTCTTTTAGCAAGCAGATCACAAAGCAGGGAAACTGATGCTTTAATCTTGACAGCAGTGATTCTGCTACTTTTCCAAGTAATCCTATTGAGCTTGCATGAGCAGTTTAAGGTTGTGAAGGAAATTTCAGAATCAGTTAGGTTTAAAATAGCTCACACAAAAAGATTCATAATGAACATCTTATTAATCGGCCCCATTTGCTGATAGCAGCTAGAGTAATTTCCTATGACAATAATGCAGGGGCTGGGAGTGACCAAAACAGCAAGGCAAGCAAAGCTGTATATAGAAATACTGAATTGTAGTAACTGTTCTGTTGATCCTCACATCATATACCTCTAAATAAGGAGCATTTTATGCTGCATTAGTCTGCTAAACTATGTACATAGATAAATTGTTTTTTCAAGTATTTGATTTGAAAATGAGTGGTTATAAATATTTAACAGAACTCTGTACTTACTAGTGTATCATGAAAACCTAAATTATATATAATATCATTATAACTATGTATAATCAAAATGCAAAGATTTTTTATACGGCCTTGTATAAGGGGGATTTGAAAGAATGTTAATAAACATGTTTTCCACTTTAAGTATTAGCAGGAATTTATTAAACTGTCACATTGCATACATGCTGCCTTTTTATTTATAATATAATTAAGGCCAAAGACTGATGGTAAGGTTATGTATTTAAAAAGAACCAGGAAATACAAATGTTAAGGTTCCCATAACATTAACTCACTTACGTTGCACCAAAGGTATATCACAGGATACAATAAACAGTATAGTAATCAATATTATGTGCACTGTAAGTGTGATAATGTTTCATGGAGAACTTAAACTTTTGTATCACTTCCTTGTTTAAATTTGTGATCTTAAAGCTGCACCAATGTAGATTTTTTGCATGTAATTTGTGTAATCGTCGGGGGGGAAAACATGGAGAAAAGAAAGCCTGGTGCCATTAATCACCCCTACTCCCCATGCTGGTGGCCCCTTAAAGCCAGCAGAGTCTATATTTGTGAATTGGTAACCAAATACCCAAAGCCTGGGTTGAAGAGATTCCTGGTGAGGCCACACTGTTTTCACAGCTCTAATGCACAGTGCAGTCACTCCTTCCTTGCCTACCACCTGGAAAAGGAAGTCATTTCTTTTGGACAGGTTCATTAGTAGTAAGGGAAGACTACTGCACACTACTGGAGGAAGTCAGACTTAACAGGCTGTGGGGGCATGGGAGTTGTAGATGAACAACGATGTCTCTCAGTCCCTCACACCCCCAAACATCCCTGGTGAGGGCAGGCAGAATGTAAGGCTTATCCTGTATATCATCACCGTACTTACACACCCAGATGCAGTTTTTAAGTGTAAATGTTATTTTCACTTTCAAAGTAAGCTGTGCAGTTATTCTTCAGTAAAGTCCAGGCATACACCTAGTTGGAAGACTGAGGTTTAGGAAAAATCTCATTTAAAATGAACTCTGTCTTTTTTTTCCATGCACTAAACAAACCCTTGCCTCAAACAGCTGGCATGTAGTAGGCTGCCTGATTGGCTACACCGCCTGATTGGTTGGAAGAGTCACCACATTGGCTACTAAGCTCAGCAGCAGTTCAATTGGCTGCTCGAAGGCACTTAACTACAGTTGTTATAGTGCCTGGTTGTTCCCAGCCCTGCTCCTGCCTTGCGTTACTCCAAGTCCTGAATGTTGGGTTTGACCCTTGACCCTGGCAGCCAACTCCTGTTGTAACCACTGGCCATGACCTACCAGAGTCCCAGTCACCCACCAGCTAGACCAGGCTTATAGAACCTCCAAATGTGGGTAAAGGGATATTTTTGTATGGAAAGTAGTGAAATTTTGGCTTAAACTCATGTAAGGACCAGTGTAAATATACCCATTCACTGATAGATCCTCCTCCCTTCAAAAGTAAGAGCGAGTGTCTTCAAAGTTTTGATACACAATATATGTGAAGCTAAACAATTCTACCACTCTGTTTATGCTACCATGTACAGCTGGCTCCCATCTTTGATGACCATTTGTTAAAATTATGCCTATCAAATCCAAATCCAGCGCCAGTTGCCCTCAAAAAATAGAAGTTAATGGTTTAAGATATAGCTGTATTTTGACTGCTTGTTTAAAAAAGCATGTCAGCCTTCATGAAGTCATACGTCATTCTTGAAGTTAATGTTGTAAAGTAAGTGTAAAGTTCATACATTTGAAAGCATTTGCAGCTGTTTCAGCACAAGATAGTGTAGGCATACTCTGCAACTATCGCAAGATTAATACGACTATTTGAGTAGCCCAAGTATAAACAGCTCTTTACAAAAGAAGGTCCCAAGCCTAGCGAGGGGTGCATTATGGTGGCTCCTGAAATGAGAGAAAGCAAAAGGACAGGAAGGAATAGGTCCTATGAAATTTCCAGCCCCCCCAGGACTTACAGGGTAAGCTTGAGGTCTCTTAGGATGTGGCATGTAATTTGGAGCCATAAGATCTTGCAGGAACAAGCGCAAGATTTGGAGCCATATGCTCAGAGCCACTTCCTGTTTCCAGCAGTCAATCCGCCCTCCCTCTGCCCGCCTGGATGGGGCTGCAGCAGGGCAGCCTCTGTGGGGTCTGGCACTTCCTCCTCCAATTGCAGGTGGGCCACCAGCTGTGTGAGATGGCAGGACCATGCCCTGCTGGCTTTACCTTAAAGTGATTAACTTTTGTGGTTACCCATGTGGAGCTGTTCAGGGGACAGGTCCTGGGCCATGGTAAGGGCTGCCTCCTCTCCCCCATGGGCCCTGTGGGGCTAGGGCAGTGGGGGCTAGGCATTACTAGGGAGGATAGGGATGAGCCCCATGGCCTGGGCAGAGCCCTGGTGGGGTATTCTGGCTGCCTCGGACTGTGGGCCATGCCCATGAGTGGCTGGCTGCTGCCCTGCGGGACTTGAATTGGTGGCTGCAGCAGCTGTTGGATGTGCGCTTGGCTGGCTTCACTCCAGCTGGACACTGCCCCAGGAGTGAGCCCAGTTTGCCCTCCTGGCTGCAGGGTGGAATTCACCTGGTGATTCTGCCTTTTTGTTCTAATCTAGTTGGTTCTTACCCTGGGCCCATCACTGCTCCAGCGGGACAGTGGTGGCTGGATTGATCATCCTGATCTGGGACTAACATGCCCTGCCTTGGTCCTTGCTCCTGGTACAGAGCCCCTTTCTGTGTGACCATTCCCCATACTCGAGGTCTCCCCTTAATCTCTTGTGGGGCCTTAGCCATACTTGCAGTGTAAATCTAACTAACATAGAAACTGGCACTGCTGAAAACCTCCAAATCACTAGCAATAGCTGGAATGTCCAGGGTTGGTGCTGCTGGTGACTTGGTCCTTCTGAGCTGTGGCCAGCAAGACTGATATAATCAGACACTTAGTGAGGACTGTCCATTTCCACTCGAAATATAGACTTGAAGTCCTTTCCTACAGCAGTTTAATGGGATAAAGGTCTGCTTTAAACTGATGCACTTTAGTTAGAGGTTTACACACTTACGTAGTTACATTAGGGCAAACGTCCTTAAGGTAGTTAGGTCCTTAGACTGCGGAGCATAGTGTGTTCATAACTGGCCACTTGTTCTCGTGAACTTGGGTGTTAGTTCCCATAACTCCCACAGTCCCTACAACACTTACAGCATGGAGGTTATAAAAGCTGCTCACCTGCCCTGCCCCCACCCTCCTACAAACAAACAACAATAACAAAAAAGTGAGCCTGTTTCCTCTTTAGCTCTGCTCTTCCCGGAGGAGGAGAGGAGTCTTTGTCCATGAGAATGCATCCTTTTAAATTCTAATTTATAAGCTGCAGGAAGACAATCCTCTGCCATTGGAAGGCAAATGACTACTCCCACCACCCCTTGCTGAGCTCTCACCCCTCCTAATGGAAGCCAAGACAATGGTGTAGGAATAGATCATCTGGTGAAAGATCTAGAAAAGCCCTGGGACCCATGCATTGAGCAAACACTGGATGAGATGTGGAAAGGGTTATTTGAAGCTGTGCAGAACTGATCTGGTTGTTAGCTTAATTTAGTGGGTGAAATGTCTCAGCAGAGACATTCCCATACTTTCCCCTCCAGTGTACCCTTGCTTACAGAGTTAAAGCAACTCTGCTTGTCAAGTAAGGTGCCACCTCTTTGCCAGACTCTCTGCCATGATGGGGATATGGATAAACAGGGTAGCCCCAATGTTCTGTCCCTCTGCTCATGCAACTGTGCCATGTCCCCAAAGTAGGATTCAGTTTTGCATGGTGGCAGTCTGGTCTGTTAAATGGGAGACTCCAATGGCAGCTCTGCTGACCCCCATGGCCTAACTAGAGCTATAAGAAAAGGCCATAGTGTAGGTGGGAGCTTAATCCCCCTTCCCAGCCAATGCCTGGATTTAAAAATTGTATTAAAGCTAACGTTAAAAAAAATTATATAATACATAGGTTGAGAAAAGAGTGTCTGTACATCTGGGTATAGTGCTTAGATTATCCACAAATACAAAGTTTGTTTTGAAAGTCATTAGATACATATAGTACATACTCAGCAATAACCCAAATGTAGGTGAATGAATTTAATAATACAGTTCAGATATTTAGCATCTGTGCATTCGGGTACATTACTCATGAAAAAAGTTAAACAGAGAGTTGGTAGCGGAAAGCAAAATATATCAATGAGTGAAGATTGTCTCTCTAATTGAGAATTTAGGATAGGTTGTCCATTTAGAGAAAAAAACAGTCCATCGGGAACATATTTGAGTTACTTTCCTGACTGCGCTTATTACACTGCCTTACAGTATGTCCAGCTCTGTGCTTGTATACCAGTCCTGCTCAAGCACATCAGTCAGTGACAGTGCAGGATTCTTCCAGTCAGATGGGTGTTTCATGGACCCACAGACTGACTACAGTGTGAATGCACCAGTCACATGCCGGAGGACCCAAACACTCATTCCCAGATTCCTGAATGGAGAAATGGCTCAACACCGGAATTTCTTCCATGTCTCTCCCTGTGTGCCCTCAAGTGGGCATGGGGAGTGCAGATCAGGTTCTGAGCTGAGCAGAGCCACACCTGGGGTAGAGTCCTTCTTGCCTCAGATTGCCTGTGCTTGTGCACGGTACATTGTGCTCTGAACAGAGGTTTGTCTGTCTCTGTCCTCCCTGACAGGAAATGGAATGCACTTAACTCCACTCTTGTTAGAATGATTTAAGGCAGGGGTCTCAAACACGCGGCCCGTGGGCTGCGGCCCGTGGAGCTCTTCCCTGCGGCCCGCCAAGCTCCCCGTGCCCCCCCCCGAGTTATTTTATGTGGCAGCTAAGCTCCCTGCTCGCTGCTCCCCAATGTTTGAGGCTGGGTCTCTCCCCCAGCCCTGCCTGCCACCCCCACGCGTCTCCCCTGAGCGTCCCCCCGGCTCACTTACTGCCCCAGAGCCTGCAGCTCATGCTGACTCCACTCTGCTCTGCCAGCTTCCAGCATCACCTGCTGCCGCAGGGTCCTAGTGCCCCCCTACACTATGGCCAGGGCAGGCTGCCCTTCCCCTTTCCTTCTGCCCTAATTCTGAGCCTCTCCAATGCCCTAAACCCCTCATCCCCAGCCCCACAGCCCT